TAATTTCGAGCCAAATTCGAGCCCCTATATTCGGGCTCTGTATCATCTCTCGATAAATAAATGATAAGCATCATAATCTTTGATGTTCTGAAATTATTCCCTTGTTCTGCGAAGCTTCAAAACATCACAAGCTCATAGAGCTAAAGAATGTTACCTACTTCATTGTTGAGGTTGACTTGCCAAATACTATGAATACACAGACATGAAGAGTAGTTGCAAGCAAGCCTGTTTAAGTAGTTGCTACTGCAGAGCTGCTCTATTTTGTTCAAGTGAAGTATCCAATAAAAATTCAAGTGGAAAATGCTCCATATAAATTAATAGAGATCATCTCAATAAAGGTCAATATAAAGTGCAGGTTAAGTCAATAATCAGATTTGTAATCAAACTGGTATCCAGCGTTAGAGCATTTTTTTAGTCTCTTTATTATAATTTCTATCTGTGTGTTTCCTTTTCAAGGTAGAAAAGAGGAACTGATGAAACCGAGGAGGATTATTTAGATCAAGAAGTGCTGGGAATGCCCATGAGATTCTCTTACTGTGAGGTCAAAGTCACTGATAAAACTTCAAAAGGAAACTTTGGCAAGGATGATATTGGTCTTTGAAGGAACTCTCTTCTAAGCAATGGCAAAACCAAAGTTGCAATGCAGCATCTTGATGGCTTAGGCCATGTCTAGAAGTCTTTTTCTAGGCTGAACAAGTCAAGATAATAGGCAGCGCTCGCCATGTGAACTTGGTGAGATTGGTGGAACATTGTGTCGAGAAATCAGAGACTTTTAGTCTATGAATGGAACATCGTAAGAGTATCTGGTGCAGCTTCTATTTACAACTTATACGACAAATAATTTTTTCAACAAAAAAAAAAAAGAAAAAAAAGAAAAAAGAAAAAAGAAAAATTTCATTATTGAAATGCGAGGGGAAGGTGTCACGGTATTGGAAATCCTTTGTGGCTGGAAAAAATTAGTGGGTGTACTTGTCAATTCCACCAGTACGAAGAACACTAGAAGCTGTTGAGTGAGGATCCTCTCCTTGCAGCTTCCGTTCTTGCGTCCGTTCTTGCAGGCCTTCGGGTCTACTTTTAGGCCCAATTTTAATAATCTGAACCGTTCATATTTTATGATTTATTCAGTATATCATACCTCTTTTTCTAGGCTGAACAAGTCAAGATAATAGGCAGCGCTCGCCATGTGAACTTGGTGAGATTGGTGGAACATTGTGTCGAGAAATCAGAGACTTTTAGTCTATGAATGGAACATCGTAAGAGTATCTGGTGCAGCTTCTATTTACAACTTATACGACAAATAATTTTTTCAACAAAAAAAAAAAAAGAAAAAAAAGAAAAAAGAAAAAAGAAAAATTTCATTATTGAAATGCAAGGGGAAGGTGTCACGGTATTGGAAATCCTTTGTGGCTGGAAAAATTTAGAGGGTGTACTTGTCAATTCCACCAGTACGAAGAACACTAGAAGCTGTTGGCCACTGCTCTCTGCTACTCCATCCGATGCTGTCATCTGTGCTTTGTTACAAGATGTTGGGTGAAATTTTATACAATAAACCATCTATATTTCTATAAATATGTAAATCAAAAGTAAAGAAAATAAATCTTGGCTTGTCATTATGCGAGGTACATAATCGCTTTTTTAAAGTATTAATAGATAATGCACAACTCCAGGATACAAACAAAATTACTATTAGTACTTATGACGTTTGCGCAAATAGAAAAAGGTTAAGAAACCGTTTATAATTAGAAATATATATGAAAATAATAAATAAAAAAACAAGAGAAGAAACCCAAATTAAAATGTTGAATGTTAATGTCTTATATAGACATTGTATTGTATTTAGGGATGGCAATGGGGATTAATGGGGTGGATATTAATTTCCCATCCCCATTCCCCTATAATAAATTTTTCCCATTCCCCATTCCCCATTCTCCATGGGTACCACCCTCCCCATTTTTTAATGGGTTTGGATTTTTCCCAACCCAGTCTTATATAGACATTGTATTGTATTCTTATTAGGGACACATCCCTTGGTTTTAAAAGAACACATTTATTCGTTTAAATTTGAAACACTAAAATATTTTCAACACAAGAAACTTAAAATTTTAGAAACAATTACATGAACTTTACCATTGAAATAAATTGATGATGATTAGTTTTGAATGACGCTGCTTTTTTCCAAAAAAAAAAAAAGAAAAGAAAAGCAGGTAAATTTCCCTGATCTCTCTAAGAATTAGAGAAAATAAAACAAGTCTTATATTTTTAGCATATTATACCGACCTCCCTTTTAATTTGGGCAAAGGGACCAGAGTAATGAAGATGATATAAAGATGTAATGATAAATAAAATAAAATTTGCATTTCAGTGTAAAACAGAAAGAAACGTCATTTTTTTTCTATCTATATGACTAACGTATTGTTGACAAAAAAAAGTACGAAGTGTTATATTAACTAAAGTTTTAGAAGTGTCCAATACAGTTATGTCAAATTTATATGATTTATTATATTATTTTCAAATGTCACAAGAGATTTGTTAATTCGCAATTGGCTAAAATTTTTAAAAAGTAAAAAAAAACGAATATAACAACTCAACCCATTATCTCTATTTTTGTACACGTCATTTTGTAAGAAATTAAAAAATTATTAAGAAAATCAATTTCCAAATAAATCCTTGTTATTAAAAAAAATCAAATTTGAAACAAAATTCATGTATAACACAGGTAGAAAATTAGTACAAGCAAGTAGCCAATGGGACCACCGGGGTGGTGGCGGCATGAAAAGGGGCTGGACTTCCACACAAGTGAGCAGAGCTCAATTCTTGGCGGCACAATTAGCAACCCGTTTATTAGGTGAAGCTAACCGTGCTATATTCCGCTCGTGACTCTACATCATGTGTTGGGGGTTGAAGAAGAATAAAAGAATTGAATAGCTTAGTCTAAAATGGAGACTAGCCTGTGTATATATACTGGTATAGTATATTTTACTTTCATTTTATCTTTTTCATTAAAATATAAACAAAAAAGTTCATAAATAATTGTGATTTATTAGAAATTTTATAATTAAATTATTTTAAATTTTCAAATTAAATGATTTTTCATAAACAAAATTATAAGTATACGATTAATAATTTTTACAATTAAAATTTTAAATTTTAATTAAGTTAAAATTATTTATAAAATTGTTGTTCATATTAAATAGGAAGGGTAAAATTAGGATAAGACACATCATTATGGAGTAATGGATTTTTTGAAAACTTTTTATTACAAATAGAATTAATTGTCCATATTAAAATTTGATAAGACTCATTAAAAATCTTAAGAGCAATATAAGACTTATTGATTATTTTCCCCCCAAAAAAATCATTCAATGCGACTGAAATTTTTATTTTTGGTTTGTTTTTCAAAACATGTAATTTGTTTCAATTTTAAAATTTTTTATATTAATAAAAGTCGAACTATAACTAAAAATTTATATTAAATTTTTTATACATTAGAAGATAAGTGACTAATACTACTCATTTTGTAATAAAAATTAAGAGGGGTAATAACTTTGACTTTTTTCTTAACTTATTTTTAATATGAAATTCTATAATTTTTTTTTTTAATAAAATCTTTTAAAATTTCATGTTAATCATTCATCTACACCAAATCGACAATATCAAATCGTAGCATGTTCCTTGTTTGTTTGGGAACCTAACCAACAAAACTGAAAGATTTGATTTGGTGTTAAAAATTTTTTTTTTTTTTAAATAAAATTATTTTACATCCCAAATTATCATTCAAAAATCAATTTAACCTCTATTCTTTTAGGAAAAAACTATGGACATAAGAAAATGATATAATTCCATACTTTTTGAATTATAACTAAAAAAAAAAATAAAGTCATAACCAAGCACAAAAAAGTCATAACCAAATATTTTAAAATAATATCATAACTAAAGAAGAAAATTACGTAACTAATGATGTATATGGTATGGAGGTGTGCATAATAGAATTCTCCATTCTTTTTAATAAGATTAATTATATAATTGAACTATTTGCTTTTTGATCAATTTTATTTTCGCCATTAGTTGTGGTCTATAATCAAATAGAAGTTTTTCATGTAGCATCAAAATTTCATTTGAAATTTTATTTTATCCCTCAAACTAATAATTATAAGCTTACATTTCTATTTTATAGTCATTAGATATATAATGAAAATCTTTTATTATAAACTTGTTACAGAGATTATCAGAGTCTGATCTTTTTGTGCATGTATGAGTCAAGAAATGTGTGTTCCTTTTTTTTGACGTAACAAAAGGAGTGGGGAACGTAAACAACATTTCAAGGACTCATGCAATAATTCTTGTAATAGTGATTTAAGAGTGATTTGAAATGCATCTGTGTTGTTGTTGTTCTTGTTGTCGTTGCACTAGTAATCAAGAAGAAGAAACAGAGTTCTAATGGATCTGTGTTGTTGTTGTTGTTGTTGCACTATTTATTATTATGTTACTGCTGCTGTTGCTATTATCACCTTTTTCTTATCCTTTTCACCTTTCTGCAATGCCCAACCTCCATCTCCTGCTGCTGTTAAAAGTGCTGCTGCTCCATTTACTGTTGTTTCTGGTGGTCCATCTCCACCTCCAACTCCACCTCCACCTCCACCTCCATCTCCTACTCCTGTTAAAGTTACTACTGGTATAGTCATCTTCCTCTTCCACCTCCACCTACATCTCCATCTCCTACTCCTGTTAAAGTTACTACTGGTATACTTCGTCTTCCGCTTCCACCTCCACCTCCTTCTCCATCTCCATCTCCATCTCCATCTCCATCTCCTGCTGTTGTTGCTGCACCATCTCCATCTTCACCAGCAGATTCTTCTTAAAGAAAACCAAGGCAACTCATAATAATCATACTTGGGTCCAGTCTCGGAGCTTTCTTTGGTGTATTTTTTGTGGTTGCCTTATGCTTTTATCTTTTTAGAAATAAAGGAGAATCCAAAGAACTTGATGAATTCTATGTCGATCAAGTACCAGGGATGCCTATTAGGTTCTCTTACAAAGACTTGAGAGCCATGACATGCAATTTCAACGATAAGCTCGGGGAAGGAGGATTTGAATCAGTATTTCAAGGGAAATTAAGCGATGGCACCAAGATAGCAGTGAAGTGTCTCAATGGTTTTGGTCATGTTAAAAACTCATTCTTAGCTGAAGTTGAGACAATAGGCAGCATTCACCATGTTAATTTGATGAGATTAATTGGATTTTGTGCTGAAAAATCACATCGCCTTCTAGTTTATGAGTATATGTCCAATGGATCCTTGGATACATGGATCTTCCACAGGCACCAAGACCTCACTCTTGGGTGGCAATCCAGAAAGAAGATCATCATGGCTATAGCCAAGGGACTAACTTATCTCCATGAGGAATGCAGGCAGAAAATACTTCACCTGGATATCAAACCCCAAAACATCCTCTTAGATGAACACTTTAATGTGAAAATTTCTGATTTTGGATTGTCAAAACTAATTGATAAGGACCAAAGTCAAGTTGAAACAATAATGAGGGGAACCCCAGGCTACTTGGCTCCCGAATGGTTGAACTCAATTGTCACAGAGAAAGTAGATGTTTATAGTTTTTGTGTCGTGGACTTAGAAATGTTGTGTGGGCGCAAAAATTTGGATAGGTCTCAACTTGAGGAAGATATGCATTTACTAGATCTATTTAAAAGGAAAGCAGAAGAGGAACACCTTGTGGATATCGTTGATAAATACAATGATAACATGCAGATACATAGAGAAGAAGTTGTGGAGATGATGAGAGTTGCTGTGTGGTGTCTACAAAGTGATTTTTCAAGGCTTTCCATGTCAATGGTGGTTAAGGTCTTGGAGGGTTCTGTAGAAGTTGAAAACAATTTGGATTATGACTTCACAACTCCTGTGGCACGAAGAGCAATCAGAGCTGCCGGTAACCAAGAGGATGCCATTGGTGCTGTTGCTGGCCCATTATTTCCTTCAGTTTTATCAGGACCAAGATAAAGCAAGTAGACATCAACAAAAAAATATATTTGATTGTTTAAAGTATTTGAGTATTTCTTTCTCCCCCCCTTTTTTTTTTTTTTGGACTAATAAGTTTTAGGATTTCAATTTAGGCCTCGTTTGGGAAGCCGCCAGTTTAGCCAAAAAGTCAAAAAGTTACTAAAAAAACCAAAAAGCCAACAACCCATACGAAAAAGTCAAAGATTCTCTTTTCTCTCTACTTTTTGCACATCTTTTCGTAAAAAGTCAAAAAGTCATCCCAAACATATTAGTTTTTTTTAGCTCATATTTTAGCCAAATAGTCAAAAAGTTACTAAATTAGCTTGTTCCCAAACGAGGCCTTAGTCTGTAATTAAACACTGATACAAGGGAAGAAAACTGTCAAAACATGTCTGGTATAGTTCCCCGTTCACACCACTCTTAGTTGGATGTGGTTGAAATTTGTAAAGACTTATCTAAGAGTTGTATTTCTACTTAATTTTGTGAAAGGCCCTTTAAAATTCCCTGTTCACACACCCAGGTCCTCCCCAAATATGTGGTGAACTATAATTTAAGAGTTTTATTTGTGCAAATCACACCCATGATACCAGGATTGATGGTGTTTTAGGTAGTGTCTTCTTCCACTGATAAAATTTTGACTGTCTCAATAATATTCTTCCTTCTTATCTTTCTTCAAGTTCTTTCATCATCATTGCCATAGAACATACCGAACCACATGAATGTAGTGAGCAAGATTAGATTTCCCATTTTTTTAATTCAAACATTCTCAAGTTCTGTAGCAAAGGGAAAAAGATAGATATTTTTATAGGATGTGAGTTTCTCATGATTCAAGTAAAACGTGAGAATATCAGTTAGTGGGTTTTTCAAACTTTCTTTCCAAAGATGTGTAAGACAGAACAAAGCCAGCTTATATTTTGGAGAAATTCAGAGCCATTTTTTGACTAATAAATTTGGTTGATGAAATTTGTTCTTGATTTGCTTGGAAAGAAAGAATTTTGTACATCTTTGTCTGTGGAATGTGCTTTTTTTTTTTTTTTCTCCCTCACCTTGAGCTTGACTGGGAACACAAAGAGAGTGTGACATGATGAACAAAAGAATTCACATTCACTTGCCATGTTTTTCCCCAACAATGCCCAACCTGTTGAGCATTCAATGGCCAAACTGTCCACTACATAGTTCAAGTTCCTGGAGTGCACATTTGATTCTCTTACTATGAGCTCAAAGTCAGTACTCATAATTTCAAAAGGAAACTTTGGCAAGGACAATATGGATTGGTTTTTGAGGGGACTCTTCTGAGCAATGGCACCAAAGTTGCAGTAAATCATCTTGCTGGTTTAGGCCATGTCAAGAAGTCTTTTCTTGGCAGCACAAGTCAAGACAATAGACAACATTCACCATATAAACTTTGTAAGATCATTCAGATATTGTGTCAAGAAATCGCCAACTTTTAGTTTATGAATAAATGTGTAATGGTGGATATTTAACAGGAAACAAGAGGTTGCTCTGGCTTGGCTAACCAGAAGAAAGATCATCCTTTGACATAGCCAAGGAACTAGTCTTATCTCCATGAAAGTTCCAACAGAAAAAAAATACACTTAGATTTTAAGCCCCCAAATATCCTTATAAAAAATTGTCACCTTTGTGTCACTTTAATTATTATTTTTAACAATAAACACCTTAAATCAGTAAAATTAGTTCCCTTTGTTCCAAAATCATATGAATTGATCACTGGTATAAGGAGCAAGGAAGGGAAATGTAGTCCCTCTCTAGTCAAATTAATACCAATTTGTAAATGAGATCTGCACATGTAATTGAACTGCATCGTTTTTACCACTAAATTAATACCAGGCCAAACAAGCTTGACCAATAAAAAAAAAGAAGAAAAAGAAGAGAGAATGAAAGCAAAGAAATACTATCATTACTCTTTTCCTTGTAGTTGATGTAAATATTATTGGAGAATAATTTTATTTTTTTTCCATGCCTCTTTGATTTGCTCATATGAGCTTTCATAAAAATTTATTAACATCATTCATAATTTCAAACAAAGTGAATTAACAAGTTAATTGTTAAACTTGATAGTCCAAAAGACTAATATAATCAAGTGTAATAATTTGTGGAGTAATGTAAGAACCCGAATATAAAAATTAAGTAAATAATTAAATAATAATATTACAATCTCAAATATTTTAGTGGTAAATCTTAAAGTGCAAATTAAATATTATTGGAGGATCTTTTAATTAATTTTAAAATCTAAAATAAATTTATGGTGAAAGTCTTTGATTTAGAGGCAAGATTTATTATTTAAAAAAAATAAAAAAAATTAGTGACAAATTAGTAAGCATATTTTGATTTAATACTATTTGTAATTTATTTAAATTAATGGAGAGAGAAAATAAATTAAAACAAAAGATAATATTTTAGGGCCTTTTGTTTAGATACATATGTAACCCTAGGTTGCCTAAAACAAGAGAGCAGCATCAGCCTAATACAATGTATACAATAGTAGTAGCAGCCACGGGAGAGAAAGAGGTTGAGAGAGAAGAAGAAGAAGAAAAAAAAAAGGGGTTGCAAACAAGGAAGAACTTTTGGGTGTGTGGTAGGTCGCTATCTTTCTTCTTCTCTTTGCTTTTGTTCTTTATCCTTACTCTATTGTTATTTAGTTCATTGATGGAGAGGTTGTAGGTTTATGTATTTTGTATATATATATATTGTTAAGAAATCTGAGTAGTTAAATTCATGTATAAAGAATGGGTGTAATTCTTAGTCCAAAAATTCTACACAGAATCACAAACTTTAAAAATCAAGAAACTATATCACATGGATGAATTTTAAATTGAAATTTTTACAGTAGATTAATTACATATTGAATTGCATATCTGAATTTACTCATAATTTTTGGGAGTCAAAATCTATATTAACTGTTGCGTTCAAATCTGTCCAGAAGCTGGTTTAAAACAGTAACTGCGGAAGTGTTGTTCTCTTTGGGTATAAATCCGAAAATTATCAAATCAGCGTCATTAGAACCGGTAACGAGTCTAGTTTCTTATATTTTTTGCCTTGCATTGATTGCTCATGTACACTAAGAGAACCATTAATTTCTTTAAAGTGTTGTAGAAAACAACTTGTTTAGATATAATTAATTGTAGATAATTATTTTGATAAGCAAATCAAGTAAAACCAATTGGGTTTGAAACTTAGGATATATTAGTCGATATCTGGAGGGTTTTGAAATTTTTCGAACAGCGTAGACTGGGTTTTGTAATTTTCAAAGTTAGCAAATAAATTGGGAAAACTTGTTTAAAACTCTGTTTTATCTTAAAGTTACTTTTAGTTAAGTTTCGGTCGGAACCCATGTCTTGGGAAATTTTAGACCTTGAAGAACATGGACTTAGGTATTATTTAAGAGTAATGGTGAGTGGGGTTGAGCTGTGTTAGTGCGCTTTAGTGTGGGATACTTAATTTATTATTCTTTTTAGTATTTTTAAATTAGTAGTGACGTGTAGTCTTCATACTTGGTTCAGGGCACTAGATGGACTTTTATACTCTATTCAAGGATTACATTATTTTGTTTCCAGCTGAGTATTTTCATGCTACATATTTTTATAAATGTTCCCCTACCCTGAACTGTTGAAAAATTAAATTGTTGTTTCATGACCAAACTGTTTTGATAAATTATTATATTATCAATGGAATCAAATTATTTTTGAAACATGTGTGAACTTGGCATACTGTAAACTATTTGTTTTGGTCTCATGTTTATAATGGTGAACTACCATGTTTTGTGAAACTGATGTGTATTGATTATTGGGACCATCTGTGTATTTTAGTCCAGGGAAATTATTCCACTGTGTGTGGTGACACTAGCCACTAGGGAACAGATCCGGGTTGGGCCGTGATGACCCTAGTGCTCCATGATTGTAAGGAAAAGACCTAGGCTAAGCTAGGTGACCTTCAATTGGATCATCTAAGAGAAAAGACCCAGGTTGCCACCTTGAGGATGACTCTTAGTTCGATATTGGATCCAACGGGGCTTATAGCCTTGAGAACTGTGTGACATGTTACTTGTTATTTCTTGGTACCAAAAAAATTATTGGTGTTCATGTTGTAATCTGTTTTAAGTGAAAAATGGCATCTATCATGTTCTTGAGAGACATGAGTATTTTAATTGTTGAACTGTGGAACCTTTTTTTTTTAAACAGATTATCTTTACCAAACTGTATGCCAATCTAGTTTCTGTGATATATATCTTATTTTGGAATTGAACCCTGTTTTCAAATCTGTATTTACTATCCATGTTGCTACTCACTGAGCTATCAGTTGATTTAGTTGTTTATCATTTTCAGGTGTTAGAAGGACTTAGAGTGGACTCATGGTGTAGCGGGGACTCAACTGCATGGACCTTTAGGACATTCATTTATTTTGTTTTAGCTTGTTATGTCGGGTTTTGTGCATACATTGTGGTCGGGTTTTTTTATTATTTAGAATTATTTTATTTTGTGGGTGGTTTGTGTTCCATTTAGAATATATTTTTGGAAGTTGGTTATGGTTGGTTTTACCATTTATACTTGTGACTTGTCACCGGATTGGGTTTTGATTTATTTATTTATGGGCTATCATCACATTTATTGTTCATGGTTTTGGGTTCATGTTTAGGCTTACGTGTGCCTTGGGTTGAGTCCTTGTGGGCCACGGCCGGTCATGCCCTTATTTGGGGTGTGACAATTGTGGTATCAGAGCTGTAGGTTTATCGAGTTACATGTCTTGCATTTCATTATTTAGACGAGGTCTGAGTCCCTGTAGTCCTTAGTAGTGTGTGGTTGAGTTAGTTTTGTTTACACTAGTGTTGAATCTTTCTTGATTTCATTTTGAAGGTTAAGAGTAAGTACCTAGATATCTATTTGGATTGTCTATTCCTTGTGAGCCTTTGGATGCATGTATTGCTCTGTCTACTCCATTAGGAGAAATAGTAGTGTTGGGAGATGTCTGTAGATCTTGTGAGG